AAGACAATACAGACGCAGCGCGGCACAAGGATTGCCGCGCTCGACCTGCGGGACGCATTTTTCTTTTCACTGCATTTCAATACTATTTCTCTTCCGCTGTCCTCTTGTCTGATCGTGCCCAGACGCGGCCTCAGAGTGCACAAGGGGCATCGCAAACGCGGCTGGCCTATGGTGGGGGTGGTGGTGGTGGTGGGGGCACCCGACAGCGCGACCGCGGCAGCAGATAGCCCCGCGCCACACGGCGGCCTGCACCAGCCAAAGCCCAAAGACCCAAAGCGGAGCCGATATTTAGGTTCACGGCCGCATGTAAACAGAACCTGACCAGCCCCAACAGCCCACATAAACACACACGCACAGGGGGAGCAGCGCTCCCTGAGGCGCACCGGCGGTCCACCTATCGAGCGGCGGAAAGTCGACTCGACTTGGTGGTGGTGGTGGAGGTGGTGGTGGTGGTGGTGGAAACGGACGGCTCACTCACCTTAAGCGAAGCCATGTCAGAGACGGACCGGTGAGTCTGTATGGTTTCTAGCTGGTCCAAACACCAGTCCAGCTCTTCCATGGTTTCGATGGACAGCTTCACGTAGGCTTCATCTGAAAGGGGAGGGCGGAGCGAAATATTAGAGTCTGAGTAAAACACAATAGTTCATTTCAACCCATTACCTTTTCTACAAGTTACAAACAAACGCGCGACGTTCCTTGTCATCGTTATCATAAAGTGCAGTAGAGGTAAAATTTACGAAGCATGCTTACCTCCCGGTTGAGAGGCCCGAGGCTGAGGCGTGGCTGAGCCCGCCGCCCCAGAGGAGCGCCTGGACCTGCGACAACAAACACTTTTAGAGCTGCGAAAAGAACTCCGAGTCTTTAACCACACCGAGAACCTCCCTTTTCTGCCGTTTCACTGTTCAGCGTACAAAACGTTTCGTTAACTTCTGCAATAATCGACAAGTTGACAAGTTTCCTCCTTTTTTTCTCTTTGATTTTTATTTGCTTTTACTCACTTTGTGGGCGGCACATTGGTGAGGCAGAGGAAGTTGGTCCGCACGCTGCGAAGGCTGGCAAGTATTTGGGCAAACGGAGTAACGATGAGGTCCTCTCCATGGCTGCAACAGAAAAGGGAGAACGCCAACATCAAAACACCGAACCAGAGAGGAGCCTTTTTGGCGAGCGAAAGCAGAGGGTGAAAACAACAAAAACGGCGGCGTCGGCAACAAGTTTGCGCGGCGGGCGCGCGAAGATAGCTCCCGCGCGAACCCAACAAGGGTAAAATGGCACGCTGGCGGGCCGCTTCCAGGAAGGCGTCGTGCGCGTAGCGGCAGCACGCCGTCGCGAGCACGCCGTCGCGAGCACGCTCACGCAGGGGTTGTCACTCCCCCCCACCCCACCCTCCTCTTCAACCTGATCTTCCTCGTGGCTGGAAACGCAGAGGTGACGTTCTTGGCGTGGGTGTGCCGCGGGGCCGCGCGCGCCCGGCTGTCTGGCGCTGCGCTCGTTAGCGTGCACTGGGGGGAGGTACGGGACGCCTGGGGGCGCCCGGCCCTACGGCACACAACCCACACAAAACGACAGCGGGGCTGCCATCTCTCAATCCCCCATGTTGTAAACGAAGCATGTCGAGTGTTATTGAGAAGCAAGCGAAAACTGTCGCGCGGCAAAGTCCAAAAGAAGTCCGGCCTCCGTTGACTCAACGAGTGCCTTTGCGTCGTGAAATTGTACACAGAGCGCGGAGTTTACCTCCGACTGTCGCCCCCTCCCGTACACAAGCGCTGTGCGTTCGTCGCCCCCAGTTCCTCAACAAACCCTCCCGTCTAATGAAGGCGAGTCCAGGGCAGGCAGTGCACACGGCCACGGGCAACGGGGGGCTGGGGGTTGTGAAGGGGTGGCGGAGAGCGCGTTGTGAGTGGGTTGTGAGGGGGGTTGTGAGCGGAGGTGAGAGGGCGGGGGGAGTAGGAGGACCCGCGCAGAAAGCCCGTGTAATTGAGGATGTGCGGTAAACGGTTTAACTATCGTCGTCAAGAGGGGTAGGTACCGGGCCCCTTTACCGTTTGGAAAAGGGGTGGTGG